ACCCGGATGACGAGGGTCCAGGTCTGTGAAGCTCTGGGGTCGGAGCGTTTCTGAGGTTAGGGGAGCAGAGGCTTGTGGGAGAGGGTTCGGTCTGGGCAAGGAACGGGAGCGAGGCCCAGGCGGGGCCAGGGCCGGGTCCGGAGAGTGGCAGGCGGGGGAGATCGCGGGAAGTCTTGCGGGAAATCTGGATCAAAGGCCAGGGGAAGCCTTCCTGACCCGCACTGCGCCTGACTCGGGAGGCGGGGCTGCCTGCTCCAGGCTTGAGATTTAAGAAAATTAAAAAAAGTGATGTTTGCAAGACGGCAGAACGGTTTTCTACCATTGTTCTCTCACCACAGAATATTGGCGTTTCTCCAGGTTTATTGAGGTTTGGTCGACCAACAAAACGTAAGATATTTCAAGTGTCCATGCGATGAGTTGACACAGGTGTGGGGTGTCAAGGATTTCCCCAGCTAGTTCATTAGCACAGCCGTCACTTCACGTACTGATCTCGTGCGTGAGATCACGTAAGGTGTACTCAGCAAATTTCAATTACAGTTGACCCTGAATAAGCATGGGTCTGAGCTGCACGATCCACTTATGTTTTTTTTTCCAGTAAATATGTATCCTATAAGTGTATTTTCTCTTCCTTATGATTTCAACATCCTTTTCTCTACCTTATTTTATGGTAAGAATATGGTACATTATACATACAAGACACAAAGTATATGTTAATCGACTATCTCTGTTGTCGGTAAGGCTTCTAGTCAAGGGCAGGCCAGTAGCAAAGTGGGGGGAGTCAAAAGTGAACATGCAGATTTTGGATCGCATGGGGGTCAGCGCACCAGACCCCCTCGTGGGTCGAGGGTCAAGTGCACATAGTCCTGTTACCTACTACGGTCGCCGTGTTGTACGTTAGATTCTCAGAACTCACTCATCTCAGGGTGAAACTCTTGTGCACTTTCACAACCTCCCCGAACCCGGGCATCACACTCCCGTTCCTGTGAGTCTGGCTGTGTTTTCTTAGATGCCACAGGCGAGCACCGCCCTGTAGGAGCATCTCTCTCTCTCTCTCTCTCTCTCTGGCTTACCCATATGTTTCAGACCATAAGATGCACCTAGGTTTTAGAGGAAAAATAGGGGAAAAATAATTCAAAGCAAAAAATGTGGTAAAATATTTAATAACATAAATGACATAGTATTTCACCAATGTAAATGTCAACAGAACTCAACAGCATTAATAACCATTATTCCTCCCAAATTTGGGGTGGGGGTTGCGTCATATAGTCCAAAAAATACGGTATAGTCACTGAGCGCAGTGCGCTCATGGTCCATCCGCACTGTCACGAATGGGAGAATGTCCCTTTCTTGAAGCTGAGTATCTTACTGTGTATACGACCCGGATGGTACTTTATCCACTCATCCGTGGGCACTCAGGTGGTTCCCACACCTTGGCTGCTGGGAATGATGCTGCAGCGAACCTGGGAGGGCAACCACCACTTTGAGACCCTGTTTCTATCGCCTTCGGAGAGGCGCCCAGAAGTGGCATTGGTGGACTGCGTGGGCGTTCTCCTTTTAATTCTTTGAGGACGCTCCGTACTGGTTTCCACAGTGGCTGCACCAATTCACATCCCCGTTCTCCACATCCTCCCCGATACTCGGCTCTTATCTTTCCGAGAACACGTAGCCTGTTGGGTCGGAGATGTTATCTCCTCGTGGTTTTGATTTGCGTTTCCCTGATGACTAGCAAAGTCGAGTGCTTTTTTATATATGCCTGTTGGCCTTCTGTGTGTCTTCTCTGGAAAAATGTGAATTCAGTTCTTCTGCCCAATTTTTAAAAAAATCAGATTTTGGGGGGATTTTTTTTTTGCTATCGAGTTATGAGTTCTTTATATACTAAAGAAGCCATAATTCTTGGATAGCTTTGCAAACACTCTCTCCCATTCCACAGGCTGCCTTTTCATTTTGTTGATGGTTTTCTTTGCTGTGCAAAGATTTCTTAATTTGACACTATGAGAACAAGCTCTGGACACCTGGTGTCCATCGTAGTGACAACAGTGAATAGTGTGCACTTGAAACTTGCTGAGAGAGTAGCTCTCAACCCCCCACTGCATGCGCGTGCACACACACGTAACTATGTGAGGTGATACGCATTAAACGGCTTGATTTTGGTAACTTTTACCGTTTTTGCATATACGAAGATACCATGGCGTATACCTAGTATACATACAATTTTCGTTTGTCTGTTGTACCTCCGTCAAGTCGGGGAATATGAATGCAAAGGGGAGCTGCTGGGAGTCTTTCAGCACAGGTGTGGTATGGTCTGAGTTTCCTCTAAGCTCAACCTGGCTGCTGTGAGGACAGAAGGGAACCACTCTGTCACCCAGGAGGTATGACCTCTGAGGTGGACCCACCAAGACTTGCTGATGTGTGGGGCATGGGGACAGCAAGCCTCCAGGGTCCCTCCCAGGGCACAGACTAAGCAACTGTTTAGTTGGTGTTGCTGCACAGAGATGAGGAAGTCAGCTGTGCTGGGAGGGATGGAGAAGGGGCCGGGGGAGGAGATGGGAATTGGGAAGATTGGGAGCACTGAGAGCTGGAAATGGCTTGTGGCCATCAGAGGAGTCATGCAGGCCGGTGCCTCTGGGTCTGGACCATGCACACGGGGAGGTGTGTCTGTCCTGTGAGTGCTGACTGGAGAGCTGTCTCAGTGGCATCAGTGCCTGAGGCTGTGGCTGTCCTCTGACACTTGAGGACCAGCAGCAGTGGGGTCTAGGCATGTGTGTTGGGCAATGTCATCAGTATTTCATAAAAGGCTGTCTTCTCCTCTCTCTCCAGTTAAAAAAAAAAAAAAAACAAAAAAACCCAAAGGGTTGGATTGTCATTGTACCTTGTGTCTGGAGTTTAGTGCCAGGAGTCAGAATTTAACATTTCTAGTGAACCAGGAATTTCTGGAAATTGCAGCGTAGGGCAGGGATTTTCATCTTTTGGCGGTAACTCTGCACCAAGCCATTTATGAAGCTTGACTCTGACTTGTACCGGGAGGGCGAAGGCAGAGTCGGTTCCGAGTGGGGAGAAGCCCTTTCCACAGGACGTTTGGCCCATGACCGTTCTCTTTGCACCGCCACACAACACGGAGTCCACGGCAAACTCGCTTCACCTAGCCCATCCCAGCTACCGGGGTCCCTCAAACTGAGAAACCACTCTGCTCTCCTGTCATTTGGTCCCTGTGGTCTGCGCCTTCTTCTCGCCATTACCGTACAGGGTACCGGGTTCTGCCAAAAAAAAATTTTCCTTCCAATTTGAGAACCCAAAAGGCTGCACAGGAGTTAGCATTTTGCTCCCCCGTAGGTCTCATTACTTCTTGAATGCCCACGTGTTACTGACCCAGGGTTCTGCTGTATCTCAGCTCTTTCGTACCAAGCTGCACCACGCTGCACCACACTGCTGGTACTCGTAGCAGGCCAGGGACCCTCACAGACTTCCCAAGTCACCCTGGGGCAGAGAGGTTTCCCTGTTCCGTGCAGGGTTTGAAAACGCGGTAGGCTCACATTTTTGTCTTGACTGATCTGGTCAGAAAACCTCAACACCTGTTGTGAGAGCTGTGTATCCTTCCTTCCAGGTGCGGGGAAAATGAGGCCCAGCCTGGGTGAGTCTGAAGTCTGTTCGCTAAATGATGGGATCCTGTGTCAATAGTTCATTCCTTATTAAGCACTCCACACCAGTGAAGCAGGGACTTTTCGTTCCACATCTGGGGAAACTGAGGCATGGGCTAGAATTGAGTGTGTTTACCAAGCGGGGCTCACGTATAAATGTGGAACACAGACTTATTTTTTAAAGCAATGGTGTAGTTTTGTCCTTGTCTAAGGTTTCTATTCGGGGAATGTGGCCTAAGTTTTCAGAAAACGAGTTAAAGAACATCAGCTGTGCTCCGCTGCGGCCGAGCTCACAGGTGGGCCGAGTCCCCCCTAAGCTGCGGCTGGCACGGGCCCAGGCAAACTTTCTGTGTGGGGCTCCTGACCACACAAGCGATTGCAGGCGTCCTCAGATGGGTGTCTCGGTGCCGTCCTGGTGGCCCAGTCTCACGTGATCCCATTTGCAAAGGAGTAAACGTACTTTGGGGCTGGCCACCAGCAAGCTCTGCAGGAAACCAGCTTTGGTTCTGCAGCTCTTTCGGGGGCCTCAGGTGAACCCTGTGCCCTGAAGGGAAGAGGCGGGAGCTGGCTGGTCCCAGCCCCCAGGGGGGATGCTGGGCATTTTCAGGTAGGTGTCTCCAGCAGCCAGCACCTCTGCACCCCCCTGCCTGTGCTCGGGACACCCCACCCCACCCACGTGACCCAGCTGGGAAACCCCCAAGGAGGCATTCCAAGAAAGAGCAGCGACGAGTGGCTGTGCTTGCTGGGGGTTTAGCAGTCGGTGGAGGTGAGGGGTGGGATGAAGGTTGAACGAGATTAAGACGTAACTATAGCAATGACTTCCACACCTCTTAGGTGCCTTAGCTATGAGCAGGGTGAAGGGAGCTTTTGTTTAGGAGTAAGCTGGCTGGAAAGTCCTAGTATTTACAATGTGTAATTCTGTGTGTGGGTTGATGGTAAAAAGTACCTTTTCTTTTCTGAACTTAGGGATTTTGTAAGCTGGCTTAAGGTCTGCTTTTGCCTTCTGAGTGGCCAGCTCTGGCCAGTTTGCCGTAACTGCCCAGTGGACCCTCTGAGGGGCCACCAAGGGAGACGTTATACATCTGTCTTGCCTGGGAGCTCCTTCTAGCGGTGGGGGACAGAGCAGGGAGAGGAGCGGACAGGTGCAGGCTGAGCTCATGGCTCCGTCACGTTGGGCGAGCGGCGTCTGTGCCCTGGTTCAAGGTGTGACGTGAATGGTTCCCACCTCAGAGGGCTCAGACGAGGGGTGAACATTCGTACCCGTGTGTCCACAGAAAGGCGCCTTGCTGTAAGGACTTGGCATGGAAAGGGGATGTTTGAGCAGCCAGCCTCTCTAGAGAAGACAAGACACTCCACGGTAGCCCATGCTTTCAACTGTTTTATTGCTACTCTATCATGATACAAGCCGTATAAAAATACTTTACATATAGCAAAAATAAACTACATTAAACTGGAGATTAAAAACATTTTGCATAGGAATGTGATGTATTCAAAGGCCTTTAACAGTCAAGATTTTCACAACCTAAACCTCCCAGCACCACCGGTCGGAGAGACTTGGATTTGGGGTGGAACTGGCTAGGACGTTCTCAACATCCTCCCCGCTCCAAGGGCAGCAGAGGGAGCCGGGGTAAGTGAGGGTCTCCGAAAACACATTCAGCATGCTGAGCTCATTCCAACCACAGCCAACCAGAATGCTGAAAGCACCTTCTCTGGTGGAAGCAGCATCCTTTGCATCCAGTTCATCCGGTCCCTGAACGGGCAGGTGGAGGTCATTCTGGTCATCAAGGCTGAGCGCTCCGCCTTGCTTCCAGCACCCTGTCTCGGTCTTAGAGGAGCTCCCTCAGGGAGCACTCAAGCTTGCCGAGCACTGGAAGAGTGTGTTGGACAGACTGAGCTGAGACAGGGATGTTGGCTGTAGCTCAAGGCACCGGCAAAGGCTGAGTGAAATCGATGCTTGCCATCCCACCTTCCGAAGCGTGTAGTCAGGGTGCGGGAAAACACCTGCGCTGGCCGGTCTGGCCCCGTGAGACCGCGTGCCCAGGCCCCAGGCCAGGAAGAGCCAGCAGCAGTTGTGCCGGGTGCCTGCTGCAGGGTGGCCCCTCCAACAAAACCAGTTTGGGGAAGTCCCCCCCCACACTCGTCCAGGATGTCATAGCCCCATGCTTCTTTCTCATAAACGCCGAGGGAACAAAGTTGTTAACCGGACCCCTGATGTCCGTTCAATTTTGCAAAATAGAAAGCACTTGGGAAGTGTCTGTTGACATGAAAATAAACAAATCTGCCTCCCTTGAGTCCAGGGTGACAATTAGAACACATTGGTTTCCGCGCTGTCTCAGGTGGCAGCGGCCTGCGCCGGCGGCTTGGCTCTTGGACATAAACAGGAAAAGGCTGCACCAGGGCCTCCCAGTTCTTAGAAGGAATCGGGTCCTACCTGAGGCCAAGGCTGTGTCCTGCTGGGAAACTTGGGATGTCCTTTGGGTGATGTGTGCGGGGATGACCCGCCGGGATCCAGTCGGCTCTGTAAACATTCGCCCGCACTTGGGTTTGGGGGGCAGGAGCTCTTCTGGAACCCCGTTATTACAACACAGGCAGGCTTTTACAAATAGCATCTACTCAGTGGGGGACCAAAACACTTCAGAACGTTCTCCTCGGGGACGAGATTGGGGCTCAGAGCGGAAGTCAGGCAGCGTCATCTTGGGCAGGAAGCGGGTGGCTCCTTCTGCCCCCCAAAACATGCCCCCCCCTTTTCTCCAGAGATGACTCAGTCCGGGAGACAGGTGACTGACTGCTGACAGGCTCTGGGGTGGAGTTTGGTTTTCTGGAATGATTAACGCATTTTCAAGAATACATCATTTCTCTTAGGGAAGAAAAAATATCAACATATATGTAAAGAGAGACACTTGAAAAAAGACTTCTGACCATTTATAAATACTTTTCTAATTCCAACAGGGGTGCGATATTCTGAGGACAGATGAAAAGCATAAAAATACAGATAAGAAAATAAAATTTAATAATACACTAATTGATCTGGGTGGCCGTTATATATTATCAAGCGGCAGCATTTCTGTACAGTGCGGGAAGACCGGCAATCTTTGGAGAGACTACATTCAGCAACGCGGTAGGTTTCCGTTTCCGCTGGAAGTGCTACGTGTGTAATTGACCTCGAATGTAGCGAGTGCAAACCTCCCCCTAACAGAGATCCTTCTAACTCACGTGCAACGCTCACACACCTTCGCCACTTAGACGTCTTGCTTTCTCCTTCTCCTTCTCGTAGAGGATTTGGGGGCCTCTTGCCACTGCGAAAACAGTTTCTCCCGAGTTTTCGCTCCTGGAGAAATTCCCTCCTGGCCTTTGTCCCTGACAAAACTTTCTGGGTAGCTGTGCGTTCCTCCTCACATGCTCTCCTGCCCGTTTGCGTCTCGGATCAAACGCCTTTGCCTCACTTTCCTTTGCTGTTGGTATAGTTGTCTATTCCTATAATAGCCAGCTAAGACATCTTTGAAAAAGACAATCTGGTGCGAGTGCCACGCACACACGCGCATGCGTATAAGCACACACTCGTACAGGAGTCTAAACCAATAGGAGGTCCTTGTCGCCGCCCCGTTAGGACGATGATGGAAAACGCATCCATCCCTTTTCACCCCACACTCTGTGAAGCCGAGCGACTTTGCTACAATAGCAGGAAGGCACTTGGGTTAAACACTCAGCTAACTGAGGAAAGGCCAAACTCCCTCATGTGCAAAAAAAAAAAAAAAAGGCTCCCAGCCAGGTCAAGTGAGAATGAATCACTCGCCGAACCCTTGAACTTGAGTTCCCCAGTGCAGTCAGCACAGCTGTAGCTGTAGCTGCAGAGAAAGGTCTTTCGCTGCAACTGCTTGTGGAAGCTTTTCCACTGGGCAGCTCTGTGCACCCCGAAAGTTTGCAGCAGCAGTCACCCTCTTACCAGCCTTCTGTTTAAAAGAGGTGCTTGGGCGAGTGGAGGAGAGCGCCCCTGTTGTTGGGGGGGAACACATGCTCCATCTGGAGCAAGAGAGTACAGACAGGAACATGCAGATGCCCCAGCCCGGGCCCTCTGCCCTCCCTCTGGGGTAGCAAACACACCAGGCCACGATCACCAAGCCCTGCGCCCCCGGTCCGGCTCTTGGGAAGGCTTTACCTCTGTGTAACCTGGGTGAAAAAACCAGCACTTAGAAAACCCCCAGTGGGCCCTGACCTGCCACACCTCACTCCTTGGGCTTTCTGCCCAGCAGACCGGATTAGGAAGTGCCGGCAGCGTGGCTTTCCGCAGCGCTGCGTGTGCGCATGCACTGTGAGTCGCCAGGGCGCCACTGAGAGACTGGGAAGCCAATCCCTGGCTAGTCCTGGGGTGTCTGCAGCACCTGCAGACAAAGCACACCTGTGTAATAGACACTCGCCTGCTAAGAACTTTGAGGGTTTTGTTTGCAAACATAGCACCGAAGGAGGAAGGTTCTGGAGGGCCCGGCCTGTGCACGGTGGAGAGGAGCCGAGGTCGGGGAGGGGTCATACCTGTCGTATAACTGGGGGGTCCGTCTGAGGGAGACAGCCGCCCTGGGTGGACCTGCTCCTATTCAGGTGAGTCCTGTGCTGGACTAGGCAGCTCCTGCAGACGGGTCTTTCTGGGGGGCCGAGCAGGGCATTCAATGCGTTCAGATCAAAATAACCAATGACCTTTTGGGCCGAATCCTGACCTTGAGTGCCCCACTTTGAGCCTAGGCCAGAGAGGGCAGCCCACTCACAGAAACACTGAGGCCTGCCAGTTGCCTCTTTTCACAACCACTTCACAGAAATACCTGTACTGTGGGGGTGGGGGGAGGAAGGGGGAATTGCTTTAGGCCTCTGCCGTTCCTTCTGAGAATGCAATGCACATGCTAGACAATCTTAACTGCTTTAAGGAAAAACACCTGGCTGTTAGGAAGAATGAAAGTGGGAACCTCAGAAAAGCCATTAGGGTGGGGGCTGCAGTGCCGGAGCGCACCCTGCAGCCTGGGCCCCCTTCTCCAGCCCGTGCCCACGCACTGCGGGGCGGGGAGCCACTGGCCAGCAAGGTGCCACCTCCAGCCACCATGGCCAGCTCTCTGAAGCGGGAAGAATAAGCATATACATGTCATAACTTAACACCGAGAAATTTAAACAGGTGATCTCGTACAGGCCAGACAGGTTCGCTTCAGAATGAGAATTTAAAAAATACACCGCAGCTGTGGCCCCACTGTGGCGTGAATAGGTAACACCTGAAGGTGACAGGCGGGCTTCTCTGCGTCTCTTCAGCCTGTAAGCTGGACTCTTGGGCCGAGCTTCTCTGCTTGCTCCATGTGGGAACTCCTTGCCTTTAAAGGTTCTGGAGCTGGGAAAATAAACCCGGAGCTGCGTCCTCCGTCCCCCGACCCAGCCCGCACCCCGAGCCCCAGTCACCCTGGTCTCAGGTGCCGTTCAGTGCGCTGTCTTACTCAGAAGGCACTTAAGGTTTAGATGGGACACCAGTAAAGTCAACCGAGATGCTCTTTGGGATTTAAAACAGAACAAACGAAAAATCAAAAGACAGCGTGTCCTTGCTGGTGTTTCCAGAGCGAAGTGGCGAGCTCCTGAAGGGGACAGTCAGCTCTCTGCTCCGGCCAGGGCAGGTGCAGTTGGGACAGCGGGTGAGGGGCAGCGGGGGGCTCCGAGGGGTCGGGTCTGGAAGGTGTCCTGCTGAGGGCTGCTTCTACGTCTGATTTCTGGTGGGAGGTCCTGAAAACTCTTTCCTGATAATTTCATTAACTACAAAAGAGAACAGAGAGAGTGTAGGGTGAGTGAGGGGGGCACCAGACACACGGATCAGATTCACTTTCTAGCACCTGAAACAATTGGGCTTTGTCCCCTCAAACCATATTTTTGTTCTCTGCGGTAATACGTTTGAGAGCTTTTAATGGAAGAAACACCGTCCCGCACTCTTATTTTCTGGACAGTAATCTGTGCTATGGATTTGTTGGGGAAAGTTGCCCGAATAGCAAATTAAAAAAAAAAAAATCACAGCAGAAATGGATTTGGTCCGTGAGGCATATTTTCTGTAACTGTCTCCTTTTTCTCTTCGGTTTGTTTAATGCACTGCGGGCTGTCTGCTGTCTGCCAAACTCCTCCCACTGTTACAACACCCAGAAAACACACCTACTATGTGACTAAAACACAGTTCCTTGACCCACAGTGTCCAGCTCTCAAAAGAGGGACTTTTAAAAAGACAGTGGGTGTGAATACCACAAAGACTAACCACCCACGGAAACGTAACCTCTGTTTCGTTCAGTTCCCTCACCCCCTTTAGAACTAGAAAGTGTCCTCAGAGGGGAACTTTGGGTCACCTCTTGCCTCGGAGGGAGTGTGGAATTCCGAGCTGGGAACCGAAAGCACGGTGCCAGCCATTGGCACGAAGGAGCTAGCGACCCTCTCTCTACCACTTGGGCCAGTTGCCTGGGACACTAGTTTCTGGAATCAAGGTGGTGGGGTCTCAGAATCATGGGCCTTGTGACAAGGCTTCCTCCAACATGTTCGGAAAGGAGAAGCTGCTGTCGCCGGCAGCCCGGACACCAGTGTGTCCGAGCCCCAGGTGTGTGCACACCTTCGGCTGGACAGTTGAGTTGAGTGGCCCAGTCCCAGGGGTGGCAGAGGACAGGAGGCAGACCCCTTTGGGGTCCCAGCAAAGGCACACATATCTCCCCTCTCCTAGTTGTGACACTGAATTCTTCCCACGGCCGCTTCCTATTTTCTCTTCTCGTCTCGGCCTGACCTACTGTTAAAGATGGAAAATCCCCAGTGAGGGCTCCCCGCTGAGGTTTGCTCAAAGTCTCTCCCCGTTTGAGCTGGGTGCAAGGTGCTTTTCCCAGGGAGACCCCTGCCTGGATGAGCCCACAGCACGCACCCCCCAACAGAGGAGGAGAGTGAATATAAACTGGGTCAGAGCTGCGCACCCCTCTGCACCTGGGCATTCTCATCTGTAAGGAGGACCTCCCAGGGGTGTGCACCCCTCGGAGCTTCTGTGAGGGCGCTGGGTGTCGGCAGCCCTGCAGGGCATGCGCCCGGTGAACAGGGCTCTGGGACCAGTAGCGGCAACAGCTGGGGGTTCGCTGTGCTCCATGTTGGACTCTGGCTGTACTCGGTGCTTTGCTTTGTGCCAGAGGCTGGCCAGGCTCGCCGTTTTTTAGAGGGACACCGCACAGAGGTTGGGAGGGCAGGTACCACAGCCTGACGAGCAGGGTCAGAATCCCCCCGCTGGCCAAGCCCTGCCTGAGTGACAGGACTGCTCTGTGCCTCAGTTTCCCCATCTCTAAACTGTGCACCAAAGTGTTACCTTCCTTCTAGGGTTGTGGATGAGAGAACACAAGTGACAAAGTTAGTGCAGTGCCCAGTGTCTAGCAGGCGCTGGTTCGCAGAGCAAGCAGTATGCATGTATGGATGTGGTGTGTATGCACGATATAGATTCAAATGTGACAACATGTATGTTAACGTATGAGAATGCATCTAGTAGAACAAGCATTTCCAAAGTGTGGAAAGGGACCTGTGAACGGGAACTCAGAGGATGAATTCATACATTTAGTTAACCAGCACTGATTGGGCACCTACTGTGTGCCAGCTGACACCTGGGGCCCTAGACCAGGAACCATGGAGAAGGGCTGCCCCCACCCCGCCCGCTGTGAGCCCTTTGGGGCCTGGCAGCCCGGGGGCCTTTGTGAGGCTGTGAAAGCAGAATGCCAAGGGGCGGAGGGTGGTCAGCGCAGCTTCAGCAAAGCTTTTCAAAGCCCGGATTCTGAAGGGCTTCCTGTTTTCTCAACCTAGGAAACCAGAGGAGTCAGTCCTTAGTGGGAACTTTCCACGGCCTCGGCTTTCTAAAAATAGCCAGTGGGCAGAGAGGTTGGCATCAGGGCCCTCCCCAAAGGGTCGTTTCCTTTGTCAGGGTGCAGGAGCTGGGACACAGAAGCGCTTTCCCCTTGGGCTTTCTAACAGCTGCTTTCGGGTAGAGGCCGTTCAGCGGGCTGCGCACACTTACTCAGACCCTCCCGCGGCTGGGGGCAGGCGGTGGCTGTGCAGCGAGGCCCACTCACACCCCACTGAAACCTCGCTGGGTGGAGGAACCTTCTCTTTCTGAAACCTCAGCGCTTGCTGCCCTGGCTGTGCAGAGAGAGAAAGTTCTAGAGCAGAAACGCTAGCTGGGGCGTAGCAAGGATGGTGCATTCACATCGCTCTGAAAGACAGGGCTGAGCTCGGAGAGAGGGTCTCCGTGTGACCACTTCCCCCAGACTCTGGTCTCCCGTCCAGGAGGTCCCCCACTGCAGACTCAGGTACTCAGGTGTGTATGGGGGGGGGGGGCAGGGGAACGAGTCACTGCCCTTTGCCTCAGTTCTGTGCTGTGCACCTGCTTGCTCTCCCTTCGTCCTTCCCACTGTCTGTCCTTTGGGAGAAGGAGCGTCCCCCCTCCGGCCCTGTTGCCGCCTCACCCCCACATCTTCAGTCTCACTCCAACTCTTCTACAGGCTGAAGGGCTAAAACCCTCTGCTTCCCCACAGGCCTTGTGATCTGGTCCCCGTGCCTGCTCCTGCCCTGACCTCGCCTCCTGCTGCCCTCCCCCACCCCCTGCAGGCCAACCACACCGGCTTCCTGTGTTCGGAGGCAATGGCAGTCCCACGTGCCCAACTCACGCCCGGGGCCTCAGCCCTGCCAGGGGCTTTCCTTCCTCCCTCTGTTCCAGGCTCTGCTCCAGCAGGCTCTTCTGGAGGCTGCCCCGGGGAGGCCTGCAGGGCCCCCACCCCACTGTGCTGTCCCTTGTCCCCCCTACTGTGTCCCCAGCTCTGTAACAGTGCCCAGGAAGTGCTCGGCAACACTCATGAATGAATGAGAAGAGGGAGGCTCCGACAGAGGCGAAACAGCCTTGGGGCTCACTGGGCTTCGCTCCCCAGGTCCCACTCTGATGCCCTCCCCATGTCATTCATTCAGTAAATGTTTTGAGCATCTCCCCTGGGCCGACCTTCCCTCCCACCTTGTCCCACACTGGCCACGTGCAGGTCTCCCACTAGTCCCTCTTTTTGTCCAAACCCTAACTTCTCTCCTGCCCTGTCCCTCCAGAAGCGAGCACAGCTGACCCTTAAGCAACAGGGGGGCCGGGAGCACCGACCCCCTGGGCAGGGGAAAACCCACATATAACTTCTGACTCTCCCCCAAATTAGCTGCTAGTAGCCTACTGTTGACCAGAAGCCTTACTGAAGAGCACATTTTGTAAGCCGTATGTACTATATACTCTATTCTTACACTGAGGCAAGCTAGAGAAAAGAAAATGTTAAGAAAATCACAAGGAAGGGAAAATATAGTTACAGCATTTAGTGGGGAATAAATCCACTTATCAGAAGATCCATGCAGTTTGAACCTGTGTCGTTTGAGGGTCAACTGGACTGAATTCTCCGAATGCTCTGTTTGCCGCCCCTGCCAGGTTCTTGGAGTCACCTGTGTCCTCAAGGTGCCGTGCACCGTGCCCCGCACACAGCGGGTGCCTAGTGCATCGATCTCAGCGCACCTTAAGGACCCCACACCATCAGCCCAGGTCCCTTGGTTTAGGGAAGCTGGTTGCTAGCATCCAGATAGGCTGCCTGTCTGTGACTTGTCTAGAGCCTTTTCTCTACAAAAGAATATGAGCCGTCCACATGGCTGAGGGCTGACTGTGTGCCAGGCACCGTCCTAAGGGCTGAGTTATTTCTCACACTGAACCTAATAATGCAGTCACACTAGTTTCACAGATGGAGAAATGCAGGCAGGCAGCCCCTTGCTGTAGCAGGATAAGGGGAGGGAGCAGGATTTGAGCCCAGGGCGGTGGCCCAGAGACTGTGCTAATAAGCTCAGCAGTCATGGCCCTTACAGGGCCCTGGCGTCTTTCCTGTGGGTCAACAGCAGGGGAAACTTTGTGCTGAGTGGTTGAGGTGGTCACTGAGCACCGCTTTCTCAGAACAGAACCGAGGTCAGTAGTGCTGGTCCGCCACAAGCACCCCTGACCTTCGGTCGCCCTCAGAGAGAGGCGCTGCGCTGAAAACCCAACACGAATGGGCGTATGCTTGTCTCAGCCTCAGGGTGGCTGCTAAGCCTGACGCCGGGAAGGAAAAGACGGACAGAGGCGAGCACCTAGAAATTATACACTTTTCCCTTTGAACCTCCACTTACTCTCAGTATATGATGAAAAGTCATTCACATACAAATCAACAAGAAGATATAACCATTCTAGTAAATGGCTGTAGATATAAAGAATATAGGAGGGGTCTCCAAACTTTTCCTGTAAAGGGCCATGTGGTCCCTTATCTCCCCAGCTCTGTTCTGGGAGCATTGGAAGCAGCCATAGACAGCATGTGAGCAGATGGGCATAGCCATGCGCCGATAAAACTTTATCAAAACAAGCCTGGGGCGGGATTTGGCCTGAGGCGTAGTTTAATGACCCCTAGTATATATATCAATGGCAAAGAAAACCAGGGTGTTTTATTCACCTGCTTTTGGGGGGTGGCCATGTGGGGAAGCCAACACTTCCTCCCGGCACTGGGCATCAAACAATTCTGGGCTGACCAAGTACTGAAGTTCTAAAAACTGAGCAGATTTCTCTTAGCATCCACTCTGCCCCAGGGATCTTCTGATTCACCCGCAGGCCCAGACCCCTGTGTGCCAGCTGCTGCTTTTAGCGGCACACAGAGACAAGGCCGCTCGGGGCTGCAGGCAGAAAACGGTACACTGTCAGCTACAAGTTAAGAGACTTTTCAAGGGTAATTTTGACTTTTGGCCTTTCCCCCTTAAAACTGCTGACTTTGGAACTTACTCCCCCGAGAAAGAAGCAACAGGAAGGGGATGGATAGACCCTGTCCTGCTTCTCCCCTGAACCTCAAACGTGTTTTCAAAAATCTGGTTTAGGCCACGTGAGTGCCCACAAGAGCCTGGGGCCAGCCACAGAGGCCATGGCCAGAAAGACACCCAAGTCTGGATGGGACTCGAGGACGCAGCATGCTCTGGGCCAAATCAAAAGGCCGAGAGCTGACCGGGGTGCGAGGCCGGCCCTTGCCCTGGCAGTGCCTTGCCGAATCCACTCCCAAAACCTACGTGGGACCGGAAAGCCCAGGGAATGTTCTCCGGGTGCTTCTGCCTTTTGTTCCAGCTGCTTGTGGGAAAAGCTACTCTGGAAGCCAGGACCATGCCCCTGTCCTCCACCCCCAACCCCCAACCACTAGCACAAGAAAACGTGGCCATGGCCTTGGGTCTTCCCCTGTGACTTTGGTTTCAAAAGGGAAATGATTTGTCCCCTCTCAGCCATCTCTGTATGCTCTGGGGACACTTGGGAACTAACTGAGTTGTCCAGGCCAGACTTTAGAGGTTCAATGAAAAGGACAAAAAGCCCTTGATAAGCCTGGAGCCCACGCGGGCCACCTCGGGGGAGGGGCCGTGCATGGCGAATCCCCTCCAAGCTCACAGATCAGCCCAGCTGGCCCAAGTTCCCGGCCCCAGCGGGGCCAGAAGCACTGCCAAGTTCTGACAGCAGGGAGGGAAGAAGTGCACTTAAAAAGGCCTGTTTTTGGTTTCTCTCAGTGGCTGCACTCTCAGCCCCGACATTTCAGGTGCATTTTTGCCATCCTGGCTCCTGGGACGTGAGGCCCCGGGGAAGAAGTCTGGGGTCACCGGGGTCCCTGTCGCCCTCACCTGCTCACAGCTGAGAAGGTGCCACAGAAAGCCCCCCCCTGAGTAAGGGCTCACGCTGCCTCTGGGAAGTGCTGTCTCCACCGGCCCCACCCTCTGGGGAACAGGGTTCTGAATGCCACCTCCACTGTGTGTGCCACAAGGTGTGGAATCTGAGGGTCATTTTTACCGCATTTCCGGAGCGGGCTGTCAGTGTGATCCTGCTGAGGAATTCTGGGTCCGGCCTGTGACGCAACAGGCCCCCTTGCACAGACAAAGGGACCATTCAAAAGCCCCAGCCCAGTGAACCGGGGAGGTGTCAGGAGGTGTGGCGGATGCTGGCTGACTTCCGGTGAGTGCTCGCCCTGTGCTGGGCACTGCGTGTAACTGAGCCTCATCAGGCTGGGCAGAGGCACAGAGACGGACCTGCTGTTCCTCACAGAGGGACTGCACCCCGCATCATAGCGTCTGCCAGCTGCCAGGCGCTTCTGTTGGGCCCAGAGTCTAGGGAGGGGGGTCTACAGCCTGACACTCAGTGAGGGGCTGTGCCGAGCTCGGTGGGCAACCAGCTCCGTCCTGGGCCCAGCAGCCTGGTGAGATGACGAGGTCAAGACTGGACACAGCTAAGTGTGGTGAGCTCGGAGAGTCACGCCCTGGGCCCTCCTATCTACTTGCCCCAGCGCAGAGCGCCCCGCCACTGATGCACAGCCTGCCTCCCTGGCTACACCAAGCAAAGTGCACAAAACCCAAAAGAAGGTGGTAAAACACAGGAGCAGAACTTTCAGAGGGGGGCATGACATAGCGCATTCTCCCTGGGAGAGCATGCAAATTCCCAGAGCCTCATCCCCCGCCTTCCCGCCCCAACCTTGAGCCCCAGCCTCACAGACCCAGAGAAAGCCAGGGGTGCTGTCCCCCCCCAGGGAGCCCCTGGTGAAGTGGTGGGGTTCCGGCCCTTAAAAAACAGGAAATGGTGTCTGTGAGGATGGACTTCAGGTTGTTAAGTTTTCTTTTACTAAAAAAAAAACACAACTTCAAGAAAACACACAGCTGGAAAACAAAAGGAGAGGCAGAAGATAGGAATTACCTTTAACTCTGATTTCTCGGATCAAAGATCACAGTCATTCTGTTTCATAATATGTTTTGTATCCAGCTAAGGTGTGTGTCTATCAGCTCTGAAAAAGATTTGCAAAACCATTTTTGAGAAGAAGACAAAAACGTCATGTTCGACCTCTATCTATTATTATGCTCCCGACTTGTGCTGACAACATCCATTTCATGAGTCTTTCTACTTAGGGCCGCACGGAAGCTCACTCACCCTCTGCCCAAATCCCGTGTCACCCTAACATCCGCACCAGGATGAACCCCACACCAGGGTGACAGTGACTGAGATGAGGGACTTTATGCAAAGAAATGGGGGTCTCTGAGCTCCAAGTGCATCAGCAAAATTATGGTGGGTTTCGTTTGTTTTCATGCTGCTGGCTACGTCCTGGAGTTTCAGATCCTAGACAACTGATAAGCTAGTTCTACTGCAAAGAATATCAGAACTTTGCTAGGGATCTACTTAGAGATAATCCTCCTGCAGGCTTCTCATGGATTCTGAATTTGACCCCGTTCTATTCTTAGTAGTGAGAGAGTAGACATGCAAACTCCTAAGAATGTAGATTTTCTTCCTGTCTCTCTGGCCGACAGTTTTTTTTTTTTAAGTGACTATTTTTATAGCTCCTGCCCATTCTGAGCACCAAAGGCACTTCCAAAGGAGCCGGCAGCCGCCTACTTTACAAACCTTTCACTTACATCCCATTTTCTCTTCAATGTTAAATCACTATCGACTCCCCTACAGCTTTCAAAGCATGTATTCTTTCACTCCCCTTCAAATGGCCAAATTGCAAGGCCAGAGTCCACTTGGAGTGCCTGCTTTAGAAGTAGTCTGAGGTTCGCTTCTTCCAGGGAGTGACGGGCTTTTACGAAATGCCTGTTGATTGGCACCAGGGGGCTCCTTCCAGGACACGCACTTGCAAGGCCCTGAACACTCCCTCAATCTGTTTCTGCAGTCACAGGCCTTCGCCCAAATGCTGGGCTGCAGCAAGGCTGGGCCTGGTGGGGGCAGCAGCCCAGGACAAAGGACCACCTCCCTCCCCTCCTTAGTAGCTGCTGTAGCAGAGCTGGGACCATGCGCTCTCCAAAATTCCAGGAGCCTGTGGCCCTCAGGCAGCTCCTTTACTGTCCCTCCCTCCCTCTGTTACACACTGGCCTGGTCCAAACCTAGAAGGCCTTAAAATACCATCTGTATCCTAGCAGTGGCCACACTGATGTTCTCCAGACCAGAACTTGTGCCTGGACTGCAGACTCAGAGCTCTGACTGCCCACCGGGCATCTCAGGGCCCAAAGCAATCCCCCGACTCACCACCACCCCACCCCAAAACGCCCTGTTCTACTCGTCCCCATCATAGGAGACACTCCCTACTTCCGGTCGTTCAGGCCCATCTCGGTCACAGCCCACATCCCTCCACACACAACTGCTTCTGGATCTGCCCTCAGAATACATCCGGGAACCAAAACCTCCAGCCTCCCGAGTACATCACTGCAGGGACTGCAGGGTCCCTCGCAGTGCTGGGACCCTGGTCTCCACCCACCAGCAGGGCGGATCTGACTGGGCCTTAAGGTAGAATGTTTGGCTCGGTGGTTACTCCTGGAGAAAGCCCGCTCCAAGGGGCCATAGTGGCCAGGACATTTCCTCCTCATCCACACGCACCCACTCGAGCAGTGCTGAGCACCTGTCGGGGCCAGGAGCACACTCCCAGGTCACACACCCTTGGAGCAGTGACTGGAACCAGGAGGGTGGGGTGGGTGGACCCAGGGACCAGCCTCTCCACACCCACTGGCCAGTACGTGGGTGCTTTGAGGGGAGTCTCAGTGGACTCAGAAGTCTGGTCCCCAAGAAGCCGAGCCTGCTCTGCCTGTGTCTCCTCTCCCTGCCCCTCGTCGCCCGAGTTCAGACTCGGTGCAAAGCACCAAACCCATCCGCTCGTCTGTGGCCTCTTGGGGCACAGCTTCCTGTTTAGTCATGAAGTTTCACTCTCTCATTGTCTGTCTCTTGGTGGAAGACAGAGAACCAAGAGCCGAAGGAAGGGCCTTGTTTTTAATTCAACTGAACTCAAAACTCAAGAAGCAGACCGTCCCCAGGCCTCCTCCTTTACAGGTGGCAGTTCTGGGGCCTTCTCACACCCTTGCCACCATCTCTGGGCCGCTGGTGGGCCCATTTCTCAGGTCACTATACTGAGGCAGTGACTGGTACAGGCACCGCCCCCGGCGCTGGGCAGAGCCATATTCGAGCCCCCGCTCCATGGTGCACCAGCATTTGGAACTGCCATGGGCCACCTACAAGATACCAGCGAGCCCTCCCGCAGACAGGGCGGGCCCCCTCTGGTCCCAGAACCACTGCCCGACTTGGGGATGGTTCGTGATGCTACAGCTAAAGACCTACGTAGGGAGGTCGCATTTTTACAACCCTCAGCATGAGCTGGTGGATTGTTGCACTAGGCTCATGGGTCAATTTAGGATACAGATTGGACCATGGTCAGTGATTAATCAACATCGATAATTAACATGAAAGCATAAGGTGTCAACAGATAAAATACAGCCTTTACAGACCCAAGAAACTGTCATCTTAACTAATTTAATGCCACAACCAGCCTGCAGTCTTTTGAGAGTAGTGACAGGGGTGGGATCAGGTGGGGGAACCTGTCTGGGTCATGGAGCTGACGGGAATCGGGTCTGTCGGAGGTACGTTCAGTTTGACGGTCCTGCAGTGAAAACACCAAGGTGCCTCCCAACCATCTTATCTACTGCCCACTTGTTCCATAATTACACATCGGCTTAAGTCAAGGGAGAACCACCCTGGACTTTGTCCAAGCCACGCTGCCCTAGAAGGAAGGACGAACCAACTGTGTAAACTCAGACCGGAGCCCAGCTCCCTGCCCAGTCCTTTCCCCCAAGTCAGCAGAATGTCTTTTGCTTTCACGTGGCTACGCTGCACCTCTCGGACCAGGCGACTGCACCGCTCCAAGGCGGTGACCACAGGAAGGCATTCTGAACACACCACCGCCTGCTTCCTCGCTCTCCAGCCATTTCACCATGGCCTTCACCCCAAACCTCTGCTGAGCTGCCTCAGCCACAAAGCAAGTACTGCAAAATAACTTGCTGCCTTAAAAAAAAAAATGGAAACAAAAGAAAAGCACTTGTTACTACATCCAGTTGACATTCTGGAAAGAAACAGCGATCCAAACCCGCAAAGCAGCCTGTGACCACAAATGAGATGATAAAATAAATACCTAATTGTTTGGGAAGCCATCATTCTCTTTGGCGGTTGGAGGCACTCGCCGAACATTTGTTTGTGTTACGGCCTTTGAGTTGACTTATCTTTGCGCCGCGTGATGGAGGCGCTGGGGCAGGGCGGCTCGTCCCTCCAGGTGGGTCGGCAGGTGGAAGCCTGGACCGGCAGTGTTTCCGTCCTGAGCTCCTTGCCTCACGTCACAGAATCACACACAACATCCTGGTGACCACTGGGGACACGTCCCAACCCCTCCCACCACCCTCCCCCCAGGAGACCTTTCCTTCCAAACCCACCGTGGCCCCTGTGGAAAGGGGTTGACTGGATATTTATTGAACCTTCCAGCCCAGCCTCCATCTCACCCGCCCATGAAGTCACCTTCCAGGCCGTTCTGTGTCCCGACCAGCTCGAAGCACAACCACACACTTCCTAAGCCCAACATAAGCGGGTCCTGTCACAGGGCATCCCGACTCCTTCACTCTCCCTCATGCCGCCTTCCCATCTGTCTTCTGCATTGGCTTACAGTGCCCCCCTCCCAAAAGGTTTCAGCACATCCGCCCCCCTCGTGAGTCCCTCAGCCGTGAGAGCTGATTGACCTGCAGACTGCCTGTGAGTTCCAGCCTGTCCCTACATGTACTTGGCAAGACCTCCCTATGGGAGGTCTGCATAAGCCCACCCACCTGCCTGCCTGGGCGAGGGAGAGGTCAAGTGCAGGGCTCAGCACCCTCCACCTCCCTGGTTCAGCCGAGAGCCTGTGGGGAAACAGCGAGATAAAGCAGGGGCCCCCTGGGCCACTCAGCCTACCCCTTCCAGGCAAGAGAAGCCACTGGCTTCCCAGAAAGAAACCCCAGCAGGCTTGAGCAGGGAGCAGACCTCGTAAATTTCTCCAAGTGAGGTTCACAGGTCTGGCCCTGACACTTATGCTCTCAGTTCAAAGGCCACCATCACTCTTAATTCAGAGTGACTGACCAGGAATGCATGTGTGCGACATGACACCAGGTGTCCCTGAGATACGGTAACTCTCCCAGGACTGGCGGACAGAGTCTAAACTCCTGACTCCTCCCTGGACCAAACCTTCTACCTATTCAGGCCCTGCTGTGGACCAAACAGTGTCCCCCGAATTGCTGTGTAAGCCTTGCCCCCCAAAGTGATGGCATTTGGAGACAGAGCCTTTGGGAGGTGATTAGGGTTAGGTCAGGCCATGAGGATGGGGCGCAGAGGATGGCATTAGTGCCCTTACAAGCAGCCCCGTCCCTCGGAGGGGGCAGAGTTGTGGGGAAACACTCCGTCAGGAGCCAGGCTGCTGGGACCCAGACCCAGCCAGCACGCCCTGCTGTCCAGGTGAGCCTGGTCCTCTCCGCACCCTCTGGTCAAAGGCGGGAAGTAATCCTTCCTGAGGATTTCACAGGGGATTCCAACAGTTTTTGAAGGAACCAACGAGGCAACCCATGACAGGTGCCTCAGTGTCTGGCACACAGTGAGCACACTACATTTACTGGGGGGGTGCATGCCAACCATTGAACCTCGGTTTCCTCAGCTGCAAAATGGGAATAGTAGCAAGCATCTCAAACATCATGCAATGGAATCAGCGGGCACAGCACCAAACTGACAAAACACACGCCAGCAGCTGCCCGTTCTCATGGTTCGTGCACACCAGCCCACCACACAGGGAGCCTTTGGTTAATAGGCTGCCGGAGCAGATGGCCCAGCCACCCTCCTTCACCAAAGCACTTTCACCTGGGGAGCTATTTCTGCATTTTCAGAGTGGGTGGGCCTGAGGTCGGCTGTGCTCTGGGGGTGCGCTCTCACATCCTGCAGAGAGGGGCCCCTCCCCGGCCGCAC